GGAGACCATGGAGCCAAGATCCGGGCCGACGTGATTCTCGTTAGGGTCGCCGAATTGGACGTCCATGAGCATGTCGAACTCTACCGTAGCGGCGGCGGTGGCTCGGGACGGGGTGGCGCCGCTCTACGCGGCTTGTCGTCCTCGCTGGCTTCTGCGACAACGCCATGCGAGCAGCCGGAGTGAACAGCCGAGGGAACTCTATCTTGCTAGCTTGATGACCTCACCATGAAGTCATGCTTACACCTTATACAGCCATTTTCCTTTAGAAAAATAAATTCAGAAATACTTTAGAAATACACTTACACGGGCAATGAACCTGCACCGTTCCTCTCTGGATCTGCGGCCAAGATTAAAAGATCGCATACACTTATGCTAGCAGACCTGATGGTAGTTTAGACATTTTCCAGCACAGTTGACATCGTTAGAGCTAAAAGTGGACGGAATGGCGTGTTGGACAAAAGAGTTTAGCGTCATGTCACCAGGGTGCATTTGTGCTTCAATCGTCCATGGCAGTGGCGTTCATGGAGACGAGTGCCTCCAAGATGCAGTTGGCGAAGAAGAGGGTGTACTGGGGTAGGTGACCGGGAAGGACATCGTTGGGATCCTCGCCGCCGCCGCTGGTTGCCGCTATGCGCTCTCCCACATGGGCCCCTCCTGCACCAAGCCGATGGCGTGGAGAAGGGACTCGTCGGAGAGGAGGAAGAACCCGAGCTACTTGGGGTCCGCCCGCGCGACGTGGGAGGAGACGACAGTTCTGGGCGTGGTGTTCGCGGTGGCGATGCACCCGACAGTGGTGCGGGAGCTGTGCGCGGGGGCGTCGCGGATGGGTACCCGCCGTCCGCCGAGCTCACCTGTACAGCCGCCGAACTTACCTCCGCTGTTGCTGACTCAAGCTCCATCGCGGTGGTGCTGGTCCTGCTCGTGTTCCTTGCCGCCGTCTACCAACGGCTCCATGGAATGCCAACAAGAGACAGAAGGGAGGTAACGCCATCATATTCTAGATACAAGGTGATCGTATCCATCTATACATCCTATCAAACACAATCCCAACTTAGCCAGGTTCAAAAGGAACATGAGAATCAAACAAACGAGGTTGCACCATGCGAGCCGAGCTTAAGCTGGCCACAACCATGCGCCCCTACCCTAGTGTCCTCCCCGGACGCAAGGGGTTCTTCGTGATCCAATGGTTAAGTCAATATTTATGAGGACCGGACCAACGATGACATGTAAAAGACCAAACCAGCTGTAGATTTATTTTAAAGCACGGCCATGCAATTAGACCAATAAAACCCGATGAATGGGTCGGTTTTCTACAAAACTAGGACTGGCGGTTGAACCGGCCAGCTAGGAGCTGATGCGCACGCCGGGTGCTCCAATAGTTATTAGGAGGACCAGCCAGAGATCGAATAAACGTTCACTGTTCAATTGGTTTAACCATTTAAACAACACGGTTCAAATAGGGAGAAATATATACTAGAGACACAAACACGCGTCTAGCTTAGTGGTATAGTTCCTTCACAAGAGGGTTGGGGTTCGAATGTGTAGTGGTCAGGTAAGGTGCAGATAATAAAGCCTTTACTCGCCTGTAGTTTTGGTTCTAGTTTTTACCAAAACTATATAAAAAATGGAAGTGAAAATCGAAATATTTTCCCCCCTCCTATGGGTTTTGGATTTTTCTGTGTCAATTTCTCTTCACTCGCCCATAGTTTTTGTTCTAGTTTTCACCAAAACTATATAAAAAATGAAAGTGAAAATCGAAATACCTCCCATGGGGTTTGAATCTTTCCGTGTCAATTTCCCATAATAAGGAAAAAGATTCACAGAGAAACTCGTATCACGGTTCTGAGTTGAAATCCCTTGTCTAGGTTATGAGTTGTGACCACTTGACTGCACCAATTCTATCACGAAAAGACCTATGTGGTCGGAGCTAGAGTAGGCAAAATTTCAACTCAGAACCAAAACTGATTAAGCGGACCAAACCAAACTGATTATTTAAAAAAGTTGATTTCGAAATTTTCATAATCTATTCGGTGAAGGCTTTGGTACTGTTATGTTAACTGAAATATACTTAGTTTCAAACTGGCGTTAACCAAATTAATCGATTTAACTCGAATTTTTTTTACTATTATATTAACTAAACACTAAAATTGTGTCTATTTGTATATTATTTAATTATATTTCTATGAAACTTTATTGGTTAGAAGCGTTCATATTGCCTTTTTTCTTTTGTTTTATCATATAACTAGATGGTACCTCGCGTGTTGCTGCAAAAATTCTATAGTATTATTTATAAGAGAATTTGTAGTGTAGGAAATAATAAAATTATGGGAAAATATACTGTCCAAACTGATGACCAATCACGCATGTACTTTAGCTCTTATTATGATCTATGAGGCATGCTTGTATATGGAATATGCCTGTGTTAGACATGTTAACATGGAAAATCGTGTGGTATATACTCCTACTCAGATTAACATTTGTGTATCGGCGAGCCTGCATCGGTAAAGGAAGCAAGCAGCTTCACCTTTAAAATATCTTTCTATCCCTGTTCTTGTCGGATTTGTCTCTTATGGTGGGTCTTTTCCTAATTGCATCATGTCTAGCGCCCCTCACAACCTTCTCCCTCAGATTCCAGTCGCTGACAAAATGATTGATGCGGCTTGGTGCCACCTTTCCGCATTTTTGTGCCACTCCTGCTACGCACTAAGCGGTTTGCGCGGATCCATGGCTCAGGAACGGTGACGCTGTCAGGGCTCGTTGCTCTCCCATGCGCGTGACGATGCCATCCTGCTCCATCCAGGTAGAAAGATCTGTGCAACACCATGTCACCATTAATAAATAATCCGATCAGAGTTCGTGAAGCTGGAATACCACATGGGCCCATCCTGGCGTCCGCTATCACGGTGCACCCGATCTCGTACTGCGCGTGGTCTGTGGCGCAGAAGCGCATGATCCGTGTGTTCCTTCGGTACCTGGCGCGCATGCGGCAGCCATCCCGAATTTTTTACTTTTTAGTTTTTTTTAAGTTTTTTATAAATACATTTCTGAAGGAAAGATTTTAGAATCTGGACCCTTAGCTCGATGACATCGATACTGACGTCGAGCTAACACGTCTCGGCGCCAGCGTCCCTGCCGCCGAGCTCTTGGGCTCGAGACCGACGTGGAGGTGACGTGCCAGGGAGCTCGGCGCCAAGGCGCCGTAGATCTTGGCGCCGAGCTCCCTGCCGTAGACCTGGTCCAACCTTCCTGCCCGAGCCTTCTTTCTCCTCCCTCTCGGATTTTTTCTCTCCCCACTTCGCCCTACCTCACTGATCGGCATATTGGACCTTGAAAACCTTGATTTGATCCGTAGATCTTCGAGAGTAAGGTATCATCGATCCCCTCCTAGTTTTTTTCGCATCGATTCAGTATATATTAGTCGGGTTTTTTAACCTAAGAATCGTCATTACTTAGGGTTTCATTCTATCCCTCAATATTTGTATTATACAACAGTAGGATGATGCCAATGCGTGAAAAAGCTAGCAAACCTAGACACATGTAGTTATGTTATGTGTTCATTGTTGTGCATCAAATGGGAAACCCTAGGTTTAGGGTTTAATGTTAATTACTTTCGGTTCTTAGAACGAAATTGGTTGTATTGTAGTTATGGTTCTCATTGACATTTATTTGTGATGTTTTGATTTATGTTTGTTAAATTACATCCGTTTTGTTAGATGCAAGAAATGTTTCGGGAGGAGTTTTGACGAAAACGGGATCGTCCTCCTACCAGACTTCGATATTCATGTCGATTGGCGCCGAGCTCGGCGCCAGGGTGACTTCGGCAGGAAGGTTGGGTCGGGGTTATGGCAGGAAGAGCTCGGCGCCAAGATCTACGGCGCCGAGCTCGGTGCCAGGCTCCCTGCCATGTCACCTTCACGTCGGTCTCGATCCCAAGAGCTTGGCGTCAGGGACGCTGGCGCCGAGACGTATTAGCTCGGCGCCAGCATCAATGGTGCCGAGCTAAGAGTCCAGATTCTGAAATATTTCCTCCAGGGACGTATCTATGAAAAACTTTTAAAAAAGGGCTAAAAAGTAAAAAATTCGGGCAGCCATCTGTGTCGGCGAACGGCGTGGCGATACACGGACCAGACCTTGCCCCACGCGCCCGCGCCCGCGCCCACACACGGACCAAGCTCCTCCCTTCACCCGCGCCGGCCATGGTGGATCTAGAAGCCTCCTTCTCCTCCTTGATCTCCAAGTTAGGGTTCTGGCGAGCTTTTGCTCGCATCTTTTCCAACTCCGGTGGGTTTAGGAGGAAAAGTTTGGAGGGAGAAAGCCCGGCCGAGCGATGGTGATGGCTGGAGATCGCTTAGGGCCCTAACGATGGCGGAGGCAGCCAGGGCAAGTCGGTGCGGGGGAGCTAAGCACGGAGCTCCGCCCAAGTCCTAGCGCGAAACGGCGGGGCGAGGACGAGGTACCAAAGAAGGGGAGGTGGACGTGCGCGAAGGTTGAAGATAGCCGTGCCTGCGCGTGACTGTTTTTTAGCCGTGTTCTTAGGCGGTGTTTGGATCCGGTGACTAAAATTTAGGAGGTGTCAAATGAGGGTATTGCATAGGGTGTTCGGATACTAATAAAAAAACAAATTACATAATCCATCAGTACTCCACGAGACAAATTTATTAAGCATAATTAAACCATCATTAGCATATGTTTACTGTAGCATTACATTGTCAAATTATGGACTAATTAGGCTTAAAAGATTCGTCTCGTAAATTAGTCGCAAGCTGTGCAATTAGTTTCGTAATTAGTCTATATTTAATACTTCCTTCACACATCCGATGAGACAACGACTAAAGTTTAGGAGAAGAAAATAAACACCCCTTAATTTTATAGACAATAAATTCTGTTCACATTTCACTAAAGTGAAAATTCTTAACAATTTAACCACACTCATCTCACCGAATTAATCGAGGTAGCGACGTCTCCCCAGTTCTCCAATCGCCCCCCAAATCGGCAAACAGATGGCCGCCGGAGCACTGCCGCAAGGGGCCTCCTCCCACCGGGGCGGCGGCGGCGGGAAGGAGGCGATGCCTTGTTGGGCGTCGCTGCACATCGACCTGACACAGCTCATCGCCGCGCGGGTGCTCGCCACGGGGGGTTTCCTGGACTACGTCCGCTTCCGCGCGGTCTGCTCCGGCTGGCGCGCCGCCGCCGCCTCCCCGCGCGGCCGCGGCCTGCTGGACCCGCGCCTCCACCCGCGGCACTGGATGCTCTTCCCCGAGGGCTTCGGCCGGCACCCGGGCCACCCTGCGCACGGCGGCCACGCCCGCTTCTTCGACGTCTCCGCCGCCGGCGCCTTCGTCCGCGTCCCCATCCCGGAGCTCGAGGACCACCACGTCCTCGACTCACCCGACGGCCTGCTCCTCCTGCTGCGCTTCGAGGACACCGCCCTCCGCCTCCTCCACCCCTTCACCCGTGACGTCGCCGACCTCCCGTCCTTCCACTGCCTTGCCCAGCAGGTGAAGCACCTGGAGGAGCTGCCCAACCGCATCAGGCTGTTGGATGCTGCTGATGTGTTTTATTTCTACCGGGAGCTACTCGGCGAGCTTTGCAGCGCCGTCAACATCACGGCCTCGGGGACCATTACCGTGATGCTAGCGCTTGCTCCTATTGGCCGCGTCGCGGTTGCATCAGCTGGTGATGATGAGTGGACTATAAGCAGCTGGAAGGAGGACGAACTGGAGGCGACCCTGCAGTATCAGGGGAAGCTGTATGTGGTGTATCAGAAAGACTGCCTAACACATCATGTCTCCCTGATTGATCCTCCGCTACCTTGGTGTGATGGGGATGTGTCATTATCTCCACCAACAGTGCCTCCACCAAGGACAGTCGCGACAGTATCAAGCAAGGAAATCTACTTGCCTTCTTTGGTTGAATTGGACTCGGAGATCATGCTTGTCGGCTACAAGAATAGGGCCTGTTCATGCCTTTTGGTTCTCAAGCTTGCTGATCTTGTCTTGGGTAGGACTGTTCCAGTGATATATATAGGTGATCATGTCCTCTTTTCTGGTGCCCGTAGCCTCTGTGTGTCATCCAATTGGTTGCCTTCCATTGGTCAAAACTCCATCATACACCTCCGAGCGATCTGTCTTGCACAATACAACCTAAACTTTGGTGCTTGGTCGCCGGCTAGTGATGAAGACACATGCTTCGAGCCCCCAAAACCCCCTTGTGAGCTCGTCCATCACATCTTTACCTGTTGCTATCGGAGATTCTGGTATGCATCCTCACTTTTCCCACATCGATTGTTCCTTTGCAAATTTATCCAGAATTTTCGTTGGTGGTACTGTCTCCGGTTCAGCTAAATAGTAGTAAGTAGAGCTGCTTATTAGTTGGAAGCTTAAACTGGTGTCTGTAGGTATGAGGGGACTTATTTATTTATCTATATGTAAACAACTAGTTTGATTTAAGACACCCTATGACATCAATTAATCTTAATCCTTTACAAGTTAAATACAGTTATATTTCTATTTTGTCAATTACCACCAGTATCTTGTTTGGCATCAATTTGAATTGGTATTTGGTTCTTGGAATACAAGTTTTGACTATGGTAAAGATTCGAGTGAGCTTGGGATTAGCTACATCCCCATTTGAAAAACGCACGTGCATTTTCAAAATTAGTGAAAAAACATTTTCTTGTAGGTCATGGATACCCATGCTGACGCACATCATTTTTCTTCACAAAAATGATAAAGACTCTTTGTATTTTTTTTCGCAGAGGCATATGCTCACTTTTCTCCATGAAATTTTGTATGCCTGCAATTATCTATGATCTGTGTGTATAATTTTTTTTCATAAATTTTAGAACGCAAAACATATTTGTTGTTTAAATTTTCAAATGTAATTGCACACTTTTAACTATTCCTTGAGTCTTTATTGCTTTTGCTGTTTGATGCCTGAAGGAACACAGGGTTGCTGTTCCAGTTTGGGGCATGGATACCTGATTGGCGGGCGAGGCTGGACCGGATAATCGCAGTAAGTATTGATTTTGATCCTTTCTTTATCTTCTAACCAAGTTATTAGTGTCCTGGATTGTTTCTTTGCTGATACATCGATGATCTTAAGATTCTTAACCTTACTACTGCTTGCCAGGGGCACTCTGCAGTACCACATGAGCATTGCGAGTTGTGCATTTATCCTTTCTGTTTCCCCTGAAAATCTGGATTCTTTGTCTAGTATACAACTAACTTATTCTGCAAACACACCTTATTGAATGTTGGAATAAACTGAATTTGATTTTGCTTGCGGTGATATAACTTCACATATGGCTAGAAGTTCTGTCTTCAATTTCATTACGCTATGCTGCCTTTTGCTCTTCTCACTTTGCCATCGATACAACAATCTCCTAGAAATACTCCAACAGGGGAAGCATGCGGAGGGCTTATTTGGATGCACTCGTATTCACCTTAATCCACATGCGTTGGAGTGGATTGGAGGTGAAAATTAGTTAATTTTCCACCTCAGTATATGTGGATTGAGGTGGATATGAGTTCTAAACAAGACCTCAATATTGCTTTATATGACTATCACCATTAATGATGGCTTATCTGTTGTTTCCATTGGGCAGGCCTAAAATTGGAACTCTTGGCCTGCTGTGGACGTTGGACAGAAATGTTCAGTCTATGTGTCTATTTCTCCAGGGAATCTCTACTCTTGTTGCGCTTGTGTCTCCCTGATGGTTGATCGCCTGAAGAATTTGGAAAGAGCAGTAGCTGTTTAGTTCACCCCTGTTTTCCTAGTCATCCCCTGTTCAACCTGAAGAGTGAAGGCAATGCTCTTCTTCATGTACATAATTCTAAAGCAACGCTTTTGTCTGCTGCTAGCTGCATCGCCTTGAAATACTGTGTCTATCGAAGGGGTGATTTTCTACTAAATATGTTACTCCTTCCGTCCTGCAATAAAATGCCAAGTATTGTAATTTTAGGGTGAAATAAAGCCTTGTTTGGATATCTTATGATTATAATCCGGTTATATAATTAAATTATATGATCCAAACACGATTAATTATACTATAGATTAGTAGTATAATAAAAGCCCCTGATGACCATAGTCACATAATCTAGGGAAGACTTGATTTTTGGAAATTATCGGTGAAAGTCCAAATTGGGCCCCTCCTCTACCTTCTCTTCTCTTTTGTCACAATCATCCAAAGGGTAGGATAAGGATTTCTCATTTTAACCGCCCACGGTAATCTGAGGATCCAAACACTCTGATTATTATAATTCATAATCTTGACTATTATAATCTTATATAATTCGGCTATGGTCCAAACAGACCCTAAAAAAGTATAGCAAAAGACTAACTTGTCCCTTATTAATTAGTTAATTTGTTGTTGACTTTGCTTAATTTTTTTAGCAAGACATAGTTTAAAAAGACGTGTATGTACGCCGCTAATTTTAGTTACCAATTACAATGAGTCATTTCGAACAAAGATTATGTTTAAAAGGCATGCATGGATGGGGTTTAAAAGGCACCCACACACGGATAGGGTTGATCATTTCAAAATACTTTTATAATTGAGAACAAAATTGGAACCTTTGATACTGTATTATTTCATGACGGAGGTTACTGTATGTAATGACCTGTCAGCGCAAGGTTTACTGTCAAATTGGAACAAATCACTCTGCTTAAGGGCAGTCCCAATGATGTATTGATGATGGTTTCTATCCTCATTAAGGCATCGTTTGGCAGGGCTTCTCTAGCGGCTTCAGGAGCCGCTTGGAGCCGTTTTCTGCTAAACGGGGTAAAATAAAACGGCTCCACCGATGAAGCCCCTAAAAACGTGCTATCACAGAGCTTTAGGGTGGGAAGGAGCCAAAAATAGTGGCTTCTCTCGGCTTCACCTCATTCTACATGGCGTTCTCTGATAGCATATTTTAAGAAAAACTATATGTGAAGCTGTTTTGCCAAACGATTTATCAAAACGGCTACAGCTCCACCCATAGAGCTGTTCATGGAGCTGAAGCCATAAAAAAAAGCTTCATGGGTGAAGTGGAGCCGTGCCAAACGGAGCCTAAATGACTTGCCACGTAGGCAAAATGCTGACATGACAACGTAGTTAATGAAGAAAGAGAGCAAAAATCATAGAAATTGTTTCCTCATGAAGAAACCAGGTCTTCTCTTGACCCAATGCACCAAGAAACCATGAAATCGCCATTGAAGAGAAACCACTAGTTTTTAGGGGGCTCGTGCCGCACTCTCATTGGAGGGAGAAGATAGAGTTGGGAGAGAGAAAAAGAATAATTATTACTCATAGAAACCATGGATTGAAAAGCAGTACTTTTTTGGTGCAGTATCTTATATTATAAAAACTACTAGTTTTTTTTGTTGGGACTGCCCTAAGTTCACGGAGATGAACTCATCAAATCAATCAAAGACATAAATAAAGTCTTGGAAAACGTTGGAATCCCAATTCTCCGGAACTCCAAAATTCCGAGTTTCCGACATCTCAGGGGCAGGAAAGTAATTCTCCTTGAATTGGAACGGGAGGTTTTGTTGTTTGATTATACGCACGTGCCATGCCAAACCCTGTAAAAAAACCCAAAGAAAAACCGGGAAAGCACGCCTCACTCGCCCCTCCGTCGCCGGCGCCGCCGACGCCGACGCCGCCTGCCGCTGCCGCCGTCCTTCTGGCCGCCACACCTCCTCCGCCTCACGCGCTCCTGCAAAAAACCTCTCCAAGGGCCAAGGCGGCAAGGCCCTTCCTATCCACGCGGCACCAGAGCAGCAGAACCCTAGATAAACCCTCTCGGAGGCTAAGCCCTGGCGGCGGCGATGGCGAGGGTCCCTCCCGTCGAGTGGGTCCCCCACGTCGAGGCCTACGTCGACGTCGCCCGCCCCGCTGCGCAACACGTACCGCTCTCTTTTCTCTCCTCTCCACTTCCCCTCTCTCCAGTTGCAGCTTTGGTTCAGTTAGCTTGTGCTTTCAGTAACTCGGCTTGTAGTATCCGTAATATGAGGTTGATATTTCGGCTGCCGGAAGAAACTTTTGGGTCATGTGCGCGATTTGATAGAACACATTCAGTTTCAGATTCTGTGTAATCCTAGTGCAAAGAACTACTGTTTGGTTAATGTGTGAGGTGAATCCGTTAATGTTGGTGCTTGCTAGCTTAATCCGATGAGAAAAAAATGTTCCTTTCGCTTAGCCTGATACCTGGTTTCATTTGTATCCTAATGCTGTAATGATGTGGGTGTGCAACAGTCTGCTAGTGTGGATGCTCTTGCTGCCCTGGTGAACAAGGACAAGTTGACCCTCTTTGATTTGGTATGCCCCAGCCCCCCAAGATATGATATTGTAGTGTGATCCACCATACGCGGACAGCAGGTTGACTTTGTTCTGTTTCTCCTTGGTGATTTTGTTCAGGTATCCAAGATGGATATGTATTTGACAACAACAGACCACATTGTCAGATCAAGAGGTTTGTTTATCTCTTTTCTCGGTTGTGGTTACCTTCCACGCTATGTTTATCATGATTTCTTAAGTGACGATCAAACAGTATAATTCAAAGTTTGAACCTTCTTTCTAAGTTCGTTAGGACGTAGGCCTATGGCTAGTTGCCATGCTTTAAGGTGCTATATGGTTGCTCCTACTGCTAGTTCCCCTTGAAGGTGAATAATTCAAATGCTATCCTTTTTGTGAAGACTGTTGCAGTTCTTTCTATTCAAACAAACGCCAACTTTATACGACAATGCAAGCACACAGGGGTGTGCATGCCCACATGCAGATTGCCAGTACAAACTGAAATGGCAAGGAAGAATGTGCCACTTTATTGGATCAGTGATCGCATTTCCAGAATTTTGAGCTTTGTTCTGAACTTACTGTTTCAATCTAACCTGCTGAACTTATCTCTCCTTGTGTCCGTTCCTGATAGATTTGAACTGAATATCATTAACCTGCTACTGCTATATGCATGTTTTTTGCTTGCTGGTGATTTACTTTTAAGCTTTTATTTTACAGGAATACTGCTTCTGGGGGAAATATTATCTCGAATTTCATTTAAATGTTTAGATGTCAATACCATTACAACATTGTCAGACTTCTTTATATCAAGATTGGTAAGTTTGATGCTTTGACTATGTGAATCATGATGGTTTCCTCTCAAATACTTTCCTAGAAGTTTTAAGTATAAAAAGGATGGAAGAGAAAGAAGTCCTCATGGTTCTATTCAAGTATTTTCTGTATGATTGCGTTTTTCTTGAACAATAGGCTGACATGTATTTACACCTGGTATTAAGTTAGTAGGCTGACATGTTTGTATTTACACCTGGTATTAAGTTAGTAAATGTTACCTTCTGTTCCTGCAATTTTCTTGTTGCAATCATGGAGCAAGATGAAACCTAACAAGGAAACCAACTAGGGAAGGTAATGCGTTTATATTTGTATAAGTTCTTATTAGATCAAGGCCTTGTTTTATAATTTAATAACAGCAGCAGCAGCAGCAACAAAATCTCTTTGTCCCCACTCATTAAGTTGGGTAGGTTGGAGATGAAACCTAACAAGGGCCACATACAAGGAGAATCTGAAGAGTAATTGGTGTTTGTTGTATAAATAATAGCCAAAAGTCTTGCATTCAACAACATAGCCTTTTTCTCCCTTTCCAAGGAAAGTGTCATCGTAGTTTTAGTGTTATCAACCATTGACTGCAATCATCACATAAAAAAGCTGGCACTTTATTTGGTTTCTAAGTTATAATAGCTTGTTTTCATTTGTATGAGTTCCATTTCTGCACAGCAAAACTGTCAAAATTGTGGTTACGAAAATTTGTGTTTAGAGCATTACATGCCAAAGTGAGCCCCCCCTCCTATTGTGTCCTGTTTAGTGTAGATGGAGAAACCTACATTAAATTAGTTTTCTACATAAGCAGGGGTTTTGCATCTCAGTGAGATGCAACAAACCTAACTACAGCATTATTTACTTAGCTGGCTGTTCAATATATTGATGTGACTTCTTTGATGGTTAGATTGTCTTTTTTTTTTTAAATGTTAGGTGGCATATAAGCAATTTATCCAAGTCCTTTACCTGATTAAAAAAATTGCATAGATGAGCTTGAGCTCTGTATCAGGTGTGGTATTTTGGTAATTTACCTTTTGGCCCTAGGTTAGACCAATAACAGAAGTTACTTGTGAAGTAGGGTGAGTGATGTGGTTACTGGTCATGTGCAAAAGGGCCTTAATTCTCTTGTCATTCTTGGTGCCTGAACTCTATGGAATCATTGGAATCGTTGCACCTTGCATGGCAGGAGCTTTGCTGCTTGCCGAAGAGGAGGCACAGCTTTAGGGATTGGCTGGGTCTTGAGGGCTTTTCCCTCTTGAATGCCCTAGCTCCTAGTGATTAGTTTTTTTTGTCATTTATATTTCAGTCACGATTTTGTATGTTATCGGAGTGAAGTAAATCGGTGTGCTTAAGATTGATAAACGTGATAAGTGTCTATTCTTTGCTGTTTGGCACCTGTCCTGATCTTAGCAATACTCATGTCTTCTTGTTTTATTTTTTCTATATCAGTCAGATTGGCAAGCAATACGAGGAGCCCTTGTTGGTTGCCTGGCTCTATTGCACAGGAAACAAGGTGTTGGTTGTATCGTGATTGCTGATGTCAAAAGACTAGTTGAGTCTTTCTTACAGAATGTTCCAGTGCAGTCACTTGCAGCTGCTGACCGCAAGGTTGATTTGATTCTTCAGTGCAAAGATGATTAGATAAGTACATCTTAAAATCATTATCTGATGTACTGATACCTTCCATCTCTCTGTTTGAATCCAGCTGTGCTTTGAAATTCTGAGCTGCATATTGGATCGGTACCCGGAAGCTGTAAAACAAATGGTGTGGTGATTACTCTATATCTGAACAACACTGGATCACCAGTATATTGGCAAAACATAATTGCTATCCTTACTGGAAAAAGAATTTTTATGAGTTCTGTCTGTTCATAAACTTTCTAGCTGTTAGAGTAGTATATTGCTATCTACAATTTCTGTTAGATGTTTTAGGGGTGTTTTTTATTTAATCTTTTTTTTCGATATGTTATAGAACTTTGTGATCATATCTTTTTGCAACCCCATCTGCACCAGGACCTGAACTTTTTTTTTTAGTTACTAATTAGTGGTTAAGAAGAAACAAATTTAATGATATCACACACCCATAGACCCTGACCACCACCACCTCCAAACACCCACCCACCCTAGGCAATATGCTCAAGTGTGTATTTGTATTTTCCTTAAATAGTAAGCACAGCACAGTACCCATTACCTTCACAATGCTTGGATTTTTTTTTCAAATCACGTATATCAATATGACCATGTTTCTTTGATGTAATATAATTCTAATTTAGCTTAAATTGGACAAATACCTACCACGAGCTAAAACAGCAAGGTAGCAAAGTAAGATGAGATGGTGATTAGTAGGTGGCAGGGGTACTTTGCAAAGCATACCATGGGAATGAGAATTGGAAACTATTGTAAACCTTTTTTAGATAATGCTAATTATTTGAGAGAATTCTGGTCATCGTCACATCTGAGCTCATGGAGATTTAGTTTCCGTCTCACTGCCAGTTCATTTGTAAATTTGTAGTTACTGTTCTTTAGATTTATGCAGAGGCTAAATGTAAACACAAACTTAATTGATATTTCTAGGATGGTGAACAGCTGTATGGGATCTGTGAAGCAATTGATGAAGAAAAGGATCCAGAGTGCTTGATGCTTTCTTTTCATGTAGTGGAAGTTGTCATGAAGCTGTTTCCAGATCCATCTGGTTTGGCAGCACAGTTTGCAGGGGATGTTTTTGAGATTCTGAGCAAGTATTTTCCTGTCTACTTCACACACGTATGCTAATTGACCAGTTTGATTGTCAATCCGTTTTCTTTGCTCTATCGTTCTGTTACTTAGTAGGTCTTGATCTTTCTTTCTCAAAAGTGGGATCATGATTATGTGTGTCATGTCTGTATGCAGGGAGTGGGTAATGGTTTGGATGCTACACGGGAAGACCTCTCTAGAGCATTGATGGTATGAATGTGTTATTTCACTTGATTTATTTATGATTTCATGAAGGTTTCCTTTTTTATGATTTCAACTAAACATATGCTTAACATTACTGAACTCTCTCTGTAATGGAGGAGTTGTAGTTTTCTGTTACTAGATGCTTGTCATGTTTGTTGGTGTTGAAGGCTCGCGTGTTAGTGCATCTTCTTGGCTAACAATATGTTTGAATACTTGCAGCATGCTTTTTGTTCAACCCAATATTTTGAGCCTTTTGTCATCCCTTTGCTTCTTGATAAACTTGCTTCCTCTCTTCCATTGGCAAAGGTAAGCAGCTCCACTTTCTTCACTGCTCCTACTTCAGCAATTTACCATAGTGAATGCCCTCAGTAATTTTGTAGTGCTCATTATATTTTCGTTGCAGATTGATTCTTTAAAATATTTGGACAATTGCATTCGCTTCTATGGAGCTGATAGAATGGTTAGACATGCATCAGCTGTTTGGTACAAGTTGAAAGAAGTGATTTTTAACCTTTCTTCAGATCAATTGTTAATATCAGAGGCTCTGAATTGTTTGAAGACTGCTATTATGTATACTGATTCTTCAGATAAAGATCTTTTTATTAATTTGATCTTGTTGGATGAGGATATTGTGAACAAGATCCGCTCTGTATCAAGTGTGGAAAAGTCCATATTGAGTTCATTAGAGGACCTGGCCCAACTGCATGCACTTGGAAGTGTTATTTCTATTCTTGCTGAATCATCTACATATTTCTGTACTAGAGTTCTTCAAGAGCACTTTGCACACTTGGTAGATATTGTGGGAACCAAAGCTGACTATGAATCTCGGCAGTTGAATAATTGTAATGGATCATCTTCTGCTCCTGTCAACTATGGAGCACTCTATTTATCTGTTCAATTGCTTTCATCCTGTAGAGAAGTGGCTTTGGTATCTTATAAAGATTGTTCTTCTGTTAAATTAGCAAAGGAATCCTGGTGGCTTATCTTAGAGAAAAAGCTGGAGCAATTAATCCATCTCCTTGATCCTTTATTATTATAGCTTCTCGATCTATGCAGCCAATGCTCAGACAAGAATATGTCTCTTGTGCTGGTAAGTTAACATCTTAACTATGAGTGTACCACAGGCACATTTTCGACACATGGACCTGATTGGTGTCTTCACATTTCTCTACACTACACTGATGCGTGCATGTGCTCTCCCTTCATATAGTTCCATGTTGCCAATGTTACAAATTCACAAATACTAAATGCACATGGTGTCCAACTCTTTTCCAGTTTACCTATTTTCTGTTAGTGTTGTACTTATTGCATTCTGAATTAAGTTATATATTCTAATTCATTTAGTTATTATAAATGGTTTGCAGTGAAGGGCTTGCTAACACTAGCAACATTCCCGGAACAATGCTCGCCTCTGCCAGCAAATGCTTATGAGGATATTCTGCTTATGTTTACGTCAATAATTATAAGCAAGTTTGAAAATGTAGATCTGTGGAGATTGTCATTGAAAGCATTGACTAGCATTGGTTCATCTATTGCTGAGTTCCATGATTCTGAAAGGGAAGTGGTTTACTACAGAACGGTTGTTGACAAGATTGTTTCTTTGGTTGAATCTTATGATACTTCAATGCCTCTCAGTCTAAGACTCGAAGCAAGTTATGAAGTTGGAACTGCTGGGTTGAACTATATGTTAAGAGTTGCGAAATCACTTGAAGTCGCCGTTGTCACCAATATTTCTGAATCTGAGGTCTGCTCGCCCTGTTGACTTCTTATTTCGTGCAACTTTTCATTCTTATATAAGCAACTTAACAAAGTTTTTACTGATGATGCAGGCTAATGGAAGAATGGAATGTGCTGAACATGTGGCCCATTTATTTGAGTGCTACTCTAGCCGGGTCCTTCCTTGGTATGACAACTTTGGTTTTTAGTTTGTAATTCTGTGTCAAGAGAAGTCTACGGTCTAAAAACCCCTGCCTAGGATTGTGCAAACTTAATTGTCCCTGTTCGGATGCACTTCAAAGAAGCGCTGTCGCGGCTGCCGCTGCATGCGTCATGACAGCAAAATACTGTATGATGGCTGTCAAACAGTACTAAGATCAGCGGCTGAACAGAACGATTGAATAGCTGTGACAGGCTATCATGTTCTGTGATAGACTTCTCAAACATGGACTAGTCAACTAATTGCTATTCTTTTTGTCATAATATATTGTGGTAAGTGATCCATTCTCCCTGAGTAATAATCTCCTTATTGCAGGTTATTAACTTCTGGTGGTGTCAATGAACTTGCATTGAGCTTCGCTCTGCGTCTATTGGATGAGACTAAGGATTTGACTGTGTTAGATAGAATGAGCTCACAGGTGAAGCTCTATCAAATTGAACATTTCTGTTAATCGAGTTATTAAGAGTGCCTTGTGTTTATGGTGGTACATCTTGCATGGTGAAGTATTCTGCATGTAATGATGGCACTCTAATATCTCTTTTTCAGGGCCTCCTTGACTCACTAATGACTGGGATGAAGCTTTTAGTTGGAGTATGTACAGAGGAGCAACAGTCACTTATTGTTCAGAAAGCATATAGCATAATATCTTCAATGTTCTCACTCCCACTGAAATTGATGACAGACCGTCTTTTGGCTGTAGATGAGTTAGTTCCTTCACATTCTGTTCCGGAAACCGCTCTCATCAGCATGTTTTCGTCGATTATAGTAGGCCTTCGGCCTCAAACACCTGTACCAGATATGATGGTGACGATTAACCTCTTAAGTGTCTTTCTACTAAATGGGAAAATGCCAGCTGCTTATGCATTAGCTTCTATTTTCAATAAATATCTACACAATCCAGAGTTTTCACATGAGAATCAGCTGGATAAAATACTTGATGATATTCTTGAGAGGTGTTTCTTAACTGTATTAGCCAACAGTTGCTCAAAGATATCCCACTCTTCTGCTGGCACTTCAGATGATGTTAATTTCTCAGATGTCTTCTCTGGAAACAAGCTTTCTAAGATTAATATCTTGTCTAGCTTGGCTTGGATTGGCAAAGGATTACTTATGAGAGGAGATGAGAAGGTGAAGGACATTTCAATGTTTCTTCTTAAGATTCTATGCTCAGATGAGATTTTGGCTAGTATTCCATCCCACCAGGAAGAACCTTATGGCGGCCATTCATCAGATACTTCTCTCACAATATGTGTAGCTAGTGCATTCCATGTGATGATGAGTGATTCAGAAATGTGTCTAAATAAAAAATTTCATGCAAGAATAAAACCATTATACAAGCAGCGTTTCTTCTCAATACTGATGCCAATCTTCCTCTCTAAAATTAAAGAAACAACTGCAGTCACAACAAAGTAAGTATTGGCATTCCTGTTATTTTATTCCTTTATATCTTTTACTGATTACTGCTTACTTTTCCAGTCACATGCTTCTCCCGAACTATTCTGCTCCAGTGCATCATTGCCGTTCCCCTTTATATTATGCTTTTCTCCTTACTGGTATTCCTTTTGTAAGTTTGAGGACATGTTGAAGCCTCTTTTGTTCTGGAATGCTGATGAGGGGCTTACGTGCATCTAGCTGCGGTTTGTTTTGTTTATAAAATGCCAAGAAGCGACATTTGTATCTCTTGCATTAGACATGTGTTATGAACCTAGGTCTGGATGTGGCCCTAACCCAAGCAGCCTGGCATCAGCCAGCCGATAGGCGGCAGTCGGACCACAAATGCAGTGATAGAAGGGGTCTGCCCCTACCCTAATAGATCGATATATTCTTCTTGCCTGATTAGATTGATACATCTCCAGTTCTCCACTCCCTATACAGAGAGGCTTACTTGACCCCTAAGCAAGAGACCCTTATCGCTAACTAACCCTAACCCTAATGGGCCACATTACGAAGACGGCACAATAGGCCCAGCCAACTGGCCATTTCACATGTTAGTGAAAGAAGTGACACAGTGGCATCATTTCTGATACTCATACACTAGTTTAACAAAAAATAGTGCTGACAACTTAAATGAACTGAATTGCCATGGCTTTAAAAGTGGTGCAATTCATTGTGCCATTCGTGTCTTGGAAAAGCATTGAGTCAAGAAAACCACATAGCATCATCTTCCTTGCACAATGTAAAAAAGAAGTGATTTTCCTTGCACATAGCATTATCATGAGATGATATGGTAGAACAATTGGTTGCTATTGCTCCTTGGTGGCTATTTTATATGTTATAGTTACGAATTTAAGAAGTGCTTGTGTATTGTTAGCTTGCCCAATTATAATCTCTTAAAACTATAGAATCCCTATCAATTGCAGATTGGCACTATACCGAGCTTTTGGGCATATCATTTCCAATGCTCCAGTACCAGCAGTTATAACAGAAGCACACCAGGTTACAGCTCTTTTGATTATGATATACATACTTATGTCCATGTAATATTAGCATTCACAGTCTAGTTAACCTATTATTCCCCATCTTGCAGATTTTACTCGTGATGGTTGATAGCTTAGCTAAATTAAGTTTTGACATTGAGGATAAGGATCTGGTGTACAGTTTGTTACTTGTCTTCTCTGGAATGTTGATGGATGAAAAAGGTTGGATCATTTTTATTGCTTTATTTTTACATTCTCACCAACTTTTAATTTATAGGTTAATATAGGTTGTGCCCTCCAGATGGATAAATTGCTTTGTGCTCTTTGATATTGTCCTTCAAGTTCTTCATTTTTTTCTTTTCTTCTGCAAAATTTCATTCGTCTAATATTATTCTGATATTGATCTAATGCAATGTATTTGATCTTGTTATTAACTTCAGTTTTTTGCTAACCAGGCAAAGAATGCATTCTGGACAATATCCAAATCACAATCAGTGTTCTTACCGAACTTGTTTCCTATCCTCACATGATGGTGACCAACTATCATTTTTATTAATCCATCTGTACTAATTGTTCTTCTGTTATATTTGTGAATTAATATGTTTAACAACCTTTTTTTCCCTTAGGTTGTGCGGGAGACAGCATTACAATGTTTAGTAGCCTTTTCTACGTTACCTCACTCAAAAATTTATCCTATGCGGCGTAAGGTTAGTTTTCTATGTGTATATCTTTTATTGGCAAAATATACATGCTATGACCACTGGGTAACTACAAGGTTGACCAAATATTGAAACCATTCCATGTTGTGGCTCAAGGACTGTATTTGGGAAGATGTAAAGCTTCATGCTTCAGCTCTGAACTTTCAACTCGGAAAATAAATGAGATGCAGTATATCTCGTGACATAATTTGATATTGTTAAGTTTAGGGCATAATTCAGAGAGAAGTTATTAGGGATTAAGGACATTCTAGCATGGCTAACTGTTGTTACACTTGCATCAATAACCAAGTTGCCCTTACTAAAAAGAACTCATCAGATTGATCGTTTGTTCAGGTTGTACAAGCAGCAATCAAGGCTCTTGATGATAAGAAAAGGGCTGTTCGTCAAGTGGCTGTGCGATGTCGGCAAACATGGTGTGTGCATTTTGCTGGCTACACATTTATAAATTTTGAAATAAACAACTTTCTTGCCTTTTGAACATCCGTTCAACTTATGCAGGCAATCCTTTGCTTAAGGGAGTCTTTCAGTGGTCTCACGTAGTTGGGAGGCAGCATGTTGCTTAGTGGGCGATCCTGTTGGGAGTCAATGAGTATACATGTTTTGGTATGCATGCTTCAATCTTTTGGTGTTTCAACTTGAGATTTGAGTATTGCAATGCCTTTCTAGTTTATTTACCTTTCTGTACATACAGGATTAGTTCATGTCTGAGGTGGGATCTTTGGATCATCTGCCAAGTTCCAGATGTTTGAAATTTTCCCAAGAACCAGGAAGCATGGGAGAAGTGTGGCTGGAATTGGCCCTCAATCTGGGTTGCCAGCTCTCCAGCCCTTTTCTTTTCCTTGATCCTGGACATTGGCCTTGTATGTGGGATACAAAACCAATATAGAGGATCACTTGAGAATGTAACCTTAGTCTCCCTAGTGCATCATCTTTTCTTGGCCTCCCCGATTTTGGAGAATTCAAGCATGTCACATGCTGGCATGCATGTATGTGTGCTAACAGTTTGGTTTGCTTTCATGTTTCCATCAGGCTCAGCCGCTCAGAATGTGTCTTGTCTCGTAAAGCGTCCAGCATGGCTCAAACACTTCTGTAAGAGATAGGAGTACTTTCTAGTACTGATCAAATTGTGTCAGGTTGTGCAGTATATGTAGAAATTTGTCATCCCATACAATTTTTCTGCACTGTGACGTCCATAGTCTTCCTGAACTGCACAGCACAGCACAGCTATGCTGGAAAACGATGCGATCGCCGTACCCCGGTGAATCTATGTTTCTCGGTCGATTATGAAATGCGAATTATGCAACGGAATTAGGCAGCCTCTGCCTAGATTCTCCCATCATGAATATTGTACACGTTTTCCGGTTTTCGTTCGTGGCACGTGCAGGTCATGCGCAACGTTCTACGAATCTGAAGAGCTCAGGCACGTGGCAATGGCCCTGAAGATGTCGACGGCGTCAAGGCACCGGCAGCATTGCTGCCGTGACGTGCTCGTCATAGCCGTGCCGCCGCTTGATGAGGCTGTCGGTGTCGTAGACGATGAAATGAACCCGGCCGGAGAACACCAGCGCGGCGACGCACCCGTAGACCGTCGTGGCGACCCTTGCCATGGGCAGCACTACAGTCTACAGCAGGATCTGCGATTCTGTAGAGAACTAGAGAAGAACAATCTACCAGTTCAGAGAGGGGCGCAAATGGCAACGGGTTTGGAAGAAGAGAATAGGAGCATGTTTGTTGGATACTACTCCCTCTCGTATCTACCTAAATTCATACGTGTAAGAGTAGATTGGGATAGAACTTAGTTTAATTTGTATCCCAGTCCACTCCAACCTACATGGATCGAGGTGATTATAGGCGCAAACAGAGAATGGGTTTGGAAGAAGAGAATAATAGGTGGTGTTCGGTTGCACGACCTGGACGAGCCCGCTACCCGTAGAGGAGCATGAGCACGAATGCGCGATGCACCCCGCGGCCAGGAACGGGCCGAGGAAGGCTGAAGTCGTGTAGAGGGTCAGGCCGAAGACCACCGCGAACGTCAGGGACGCTGCTTCGGTACCTGCTTCGTTGCAATTTGCAGAGAGAAATCGAACTGGATGTTATTACGTATTATTTATTGTTATATCATTCTATGGTTGCTCACTTGTTGCTTGCTGAAGTACTGAAATTTTTTTAGAGAACTTCAGAATGCATGCATCAATTTCTTAGAAAGTTCGCTAGAATTTGCTCGGAAACTCAAACTGACGGTCTTGGTCGGAGGAGATGTTTGGGTTCTGCAGAGTTTGGACGACGGAGCGGGTTTTCTATTCTCAAGTCGTTTTTTTATGGTTTTCCACTGGTTCACAACTCTAGACAGCCTGTTCGTTTGGCTGTGGCTTGTCGTAAATGATAGTAAATTTTTAGTCGGAAGAATATTTTTCTCTCACACAAACCAGCCAGCAGTACTTCTTCATGAACCAGCAACGAAACGAACCAGCCAACCGAACAGGCTGTATTATTGGCACGCAACAGCCAACAGGTTGTTTTCAGCTTTTAGCTGATAAATATATGTGGTTTCAATCTGGGCTACGTTCTTCAACATGCCCACATGATCGCAACCTCCATTTTCTGTTGGCGTCATAGAATACGTGTGGTCAGCCTGTATCAAATAATCACTTATGATGAATCGATAAATAAAAAACTCCATGATAGATTTCACCAGTAGCAAATGTAGATCATAAAGCAGATGGATCTCCAAACTCTCATTCAAGGTTAGGCAACCCAAATCCAGTACCACATCTCCACGCACATAATCAAGGTACATATGTTTGTGATCCAGCTACGCAGATGATATCAAGACTCTGACTGAGCCATGCCGAGTAAGACCATACTAGTAGAACGGCAACGCAGCTATACAACTCTACTCTTGGAACTGGAATTCTCGGCACCCGAGCTTAACCCACAAGACGAGCATTCAGGGACCAACGTAAGGTATTCACAGCTTGCGTAGATAGACAGGATGGGAGCAGAGAGCCTAGTCGGCCGCCCTGAAGAGGGTCATCAGGGACAGGAAGAGGTTGATGACGTCCAGGTAGAGGGAGACCGCGGCCCAGACGTACTGGTCGTACGTGAAGCGCCTGATGATGTTGTTCGTGTCGTAGACAATGTACCCACTGAAGATGAGCGACGCCAGCCCGCCGTAGATCATCTGGGAGAGCTTGCCCAGTGGGAACAGTATCTGCATTTGGCAGCAACAAGGTCACCCCCCAACAGAATCGATTGGAAAAGATTCTAAGTAAATACTATCACATCACATAGAAAATGCAATGATGCTTTGCTGCGGAGATAGATCCCTCACCTGGATGAGTGCAAACACAAGCAGCACTATGAGGGAGGCGAACAGGAAAGGACCCAGGAAGCTGAAGTCTTTGCCCCTATTCACGGCCCAGAAAGTGTATGCAGTCAGGCTGAGCACAACCACTGTTGTCAGAATTGCAGACTCCAGAATGACCTTGCCTGTTCACACAGCAGATTATATTAGCAATTGCTAGACCATAGAGGATTCAACTAGAACTAAGAGCAGTGTAAAGAAAGGGTTAAAATAGTGATTATGAATGCTAGCTACAAGACTTAGTAGATTTTATCCCAACACATGTCTGTGTAACTAAAAGGACAAAAGACATAACCAGAAAATAGCTGAACAGAAATAGATTACAAGTATTTCCTAAATTGTTATTGTTAAGTAAAAGAAATAAAACTTTGTTTCAATTTTCAAGCCATCATTGTGAAGCTCATCAAACTAACTTTTATGTAGTCTGGACATCCAATAAAATACGACTGTTAAATCTAGAAACAAAAAAGAGAGTGCATAATTCAGTGTCCTAATTATTGGCAAAAAGATACAGATGCAAAAGAGAGAAAAAATCAACCACCACATCATGCACCACTGCACCAGCTGTTGTTGCCAGCACACAAGACAGAGTGACAGACAGATCATAAAGTAAAGGTTCCAAAAACAAAGATGGGTTCACAATAACAATTTATAATGATTCGGCATCACTTAAATCAAATATCAAATGAACTCAAACCAGCTGGGGATGACCAAAAAGTAAAAGTAGCTTTTATATGAAGCGTCTCTCTTAGTGCAGAGCCTGTAACAATCTAATCTTCTATTAAAAAAATCCTTGTAATTTGTTATTGATTTCCAGCTAAGACCCTAACAAAACTAGTAATCTCACGAAAGTTGTGGCTAAGAAACAGTTTATTTTCATGGACTAATACCTGCCAGATTCAAACTACCATTAATATCACCAATGCTTTAAGAAAAACCAAAGGGTAGTTCAAAAAGGCACAACCCAACAAAAGGCCAACTTCACAATGAGGCAAGCCGAAAGTAATTTTGCATTGCCAAATATGTTTGCATGGATATGTGACATGCATAAAGCAAGGGGCTCAGATAAGCATTGCATACAGCCACCAAACCTACAACTTGGCTCTACACAAAGAGTAAGAAAATGCCTCACTCGGCATTCAAGACAAGTTCCTTCAAATTTCTCAGCAACCACACACACACACACACACACACACACACACAAAAAAAACACTAAACTCTTCCAAAAACTAGCATGATCTTTCAGAAACAGTATATATGCTGATAAGTGATATTGCTGATTCGAATACTTGCAAAGGAAGAGATATTGCTAATTTATACAGACAAGCACACAAAACAGTGCTTATTAGCATGGAGAAATATATTGAACCTGTCACTATATCGTGTAATTACGCACCTTGCAAGGAAGAAAATAGAGCCAGAAACAAATAGTAGATAACTTCTCAAGTTGCATGTTTTGACCAATATTTTATTGAAACCAATGAATAAGGATTCATTGTTTGCAAGTTTAAAAACGCACAACCCAGTCAAAGGTCAACTTCGCAATAAGGCAAAAGCACAGGCAAGAGGTGTTTGTATTATAAATGACCAATTCCACAAGATGGTGATATTCCAATTGTTTCTGACTCAGACAAGCATATCATAAAGCCACTAACACCTACAACTTGGTCCTACACGTAGACTAGCCAAATGGGCACATGGGTCGCCCTCGCATGCTACTTGAGTTTTCTCTATAATAAACCTTACCCCAAAAAAAAGCTCTTCCCAAAAGTATCGCTGCTATGGCATACTACATGCCAGTTGCATTGCACAACAACCCAAAAGTGAATTCACATCGCCAGAAAAATCTGCACATGGCGTGATATTGCTAATTTACGCAAGCCAGTGAATAAAGCGATTGAGACAAGCATATCACATAGCCACCAAAATCTAAAAATTTGGTTGTACACCTCACATAGGCTGCCAGGACAAGTTCCTAGAAATTTCTGTGAACCTAACAGTCAAAACTCTGTCCAAAACTAGCAAGGCCATTGCATGTATTTACACTGATGTTACCAATTTTCACAATCAGGCACACAAAGTAATGGTAGTCAAAACAACTGAACAATGAGGCCACGAAGATGTGATCAATGAGGCAACGAAGATGAGATGGTTACCACTGGTGAAGGCACATGTCAAGCCCACTGAGAAGCTGATGGCGACAGTGAAGAGGCCGAGCAGGATCAGGTTGACTGGGTGCTTCTCATGGTAGAAGTACAGCGGGCACAACACTGCACACCAAAACAAAATGAACAATCATGTTCAGCGTTGCATCATCAATTGACAAGTAATTAGACATCCAATTCAATCCAAATAACACGCGATTAGGCCAGGTCCTGCTAAACACAAAAACCCTCACGCCGTCACGAGTGCCAACCCACCCACCCACCCACCGAAAAACACTCTTGCCACAAGGTAACGGCACCTATGCGTGCACGGATGAGAACACGCAAGGCTCCTCCATTTCCACTTTGACAGAATCCCTCCAAACTTTACCAAACCGACCAACAACTCGCTGGCAGGACTAGCAGATTTCGCAGGTATTAGGACATGGGCATCAGAATCTGATTCTAACTGCAACCTTGAAGCAACGCACAGAATATATTCGGCGGAATTTACAGAAATACCCCTCGAACACAACTGCTTCCCCGTGCACCCGATCGGAAGAGGAAAAACCAAAAAAAAAATTGATTCACAAGTTACAAAGTTGATCGAACTCTAGCCATAGAGAATGTTGCGATTCAAATATCGCAACCGCGATTCACATCCAAATTGCTAACGGAATCTACACGCACCCGCATTTTGCGGAATAGAAGCGAAGCATTCGCATGAACACCCTTCGTTCGAAACCCTACTCTACTACTTTCCCCACCACTCCGAACGAACAAAAAAAAAATCCAAAATCCTCAGAGGAACAACTAAAGCCAGCCAGCCAGACAGAGAGAGAGAGAGAGAGGGATGGATGGATGGTTGAGAGTTGAGGGGTGCGGACTGACCGATGAAGGGGAGGATGATGAGGAAGATGTAGAGGCCGAGGCCGGCGTTGGTGGTGGTGAAGAAGTGCGGGATGGCGCGGACCTTGACGACGACGGCGGCGACGACGGCGGTGAGGAGCAGCTGGAGCGAGAGGATGACGTAGATCTTGCGGATGAGCGCCCAGCGCAGCTCGGGGCTCTCCTGCATCCCCGGGTAGAGCTGGCGCGCACCGCTCGTGGCGGCGGCGCCGCCCGAGGTCCCCGCCTCGACGTCGAGGCCCTTCTGGTACCCGAACATCCTGGCGCCTCCTCGGCGGCGGCGGCGAAGGCCTCCTCCTCTTCTCTCCGGTGGGTGAGCGGGTGGCGCAGGCTTGAGAGGGAAGTGGACGGCGTAGACGAGGAGGAGGGGAAGACGATGCCCGGATGCCGAGATGGATTGCCTATTTGCCTGGCCGCTGCGGGGGAGTCGTCGTATTAGTACTCAGTCGTCTGCATCGCTACTCATGACGGATGGGCCCAGATGAGTGGGACCAGAGTGTCAGTTGGAAGCGGTCATGCGAGAGGTGCGTGTGGTCCAGTAGGACCCGGTTGATGATTCGAATGAACGCATGCGCAGCGTCCGGCCGCGTGGGCTTGTGGGGCCTTCGCGGGGTTTCGTGGGCCCCCGTCACCAGGCTGGAACCTTTGGCGTCGTGTGCCCGTGGACCGAGACCGACTCCGGCGGGTCAAGGTCAGGCGGCGGTGCGATTGGTTGGATACTCGAGTTGGAGGGAGGGAGCCGGCCGTTGGAGGGCTGTCACGCGTAGGATCTGTTTGGGACGACCGTACGTGTGTGGGGCATGTTCTTGTTGTCTAGTCGAGTTTGTTCAGCTTATTCTCTCTCATAGAACACTATTGAATCAACCGAAATCAGTCGAAATAAATTTGAAATGTGACCACAATGCTTCCGCCTAGCATGTTTTGTTTGCCGATAAATAGGGCTGCAAACGGATTATAAGAAATCTAATAAAAAGATATCTATCATACCAAACAGATCATCATATTCTAGGATAGATCTTTTAAAAATCACAAAATTTGACAATCTAGTATAGATAATAATGGAATTCTCATAATCCCTACCGGATTCAAACATGGCCATAGTAGTTTTATATAAATGGTGCCAAACTATTTGTCGTCGTTTTCTACGTATAACGCGTTAAGTGATTGTCGATTAGCCTGTTCGGCTTACCTCATATTTGGCTTGTTCGGCTTCTTTTTTCAGCCGGAACAGTGTTTTTCTCTCACAACAATTCAGCCGGAATAATATTTTTGAACCAGTTTCAGCCAAGTTGCAGACCAGCGAATGGGACCATGGCAATGTGTGTCACTTTACATGAATAAGAAGGAATCAATCTATTTTAGTACTATCAGCCAATTAACGTATGGTTCGTATATACCTAACAACTTGACTAAACTTGTCGGAGTTGTTGGTGCTCAAGACAATACCTCCGTAACGGCGTAACTTACAAGTGAGGGATATGGTCTTGCAATAACTTTGTAACTTACGATCGATAGTACAGGTTTCAAAAAATACCCCCCTTACAGGTTTCAAAAAAATACCCCCCTTACAAGTTTCAAAAAATACCTCCTTGGCTTTTTGTGTGTGTAAGAGAGAGGGAGTTTTTTTTTTGCTACGATAATACTGGGTCAGGGTGTCCGATCTGATAGAAATCCGTCGAACGTCGCCGTTGGTAGGCCACGACGCCGGCCGAACGGACCAACTGACTCGCACCGCATTGCTAAAAAAATACGGAATACTCCGCTCTCACTTTCCCTCTCCCCCACTTTTCCACCCATTGTTCGGTTGGTGTTCGGTTGTTCGTTTAGGTTCTTTGGTTCATGAAGAAATCTCATTGGTGGTTTTGTGTGAGAGAAAAATACTATTCCGGCTGAAAATTTACGATCGTTTACGACAAGCCACGGCCAAACGAACAGGCTGGCACAACCGCACCATCACGGCGTGCTCCACCATGGCTCTCTCCACCGCACTTTCGCCCCGCCGTGACCTTCTACAGTGCAACCGCCTCTGCTGTGCTACCGTCGCACGCATCAGCCTATGACGCTCGCTCCTCTCTCCTACCCGTCTCGCGCGGCCACCTTTGCTGGTCGGGCCGCTCCCTCCCGCGCGCGTCGGGCTGGTGGTGCTCGTGTGCCGCCCGCTCCCTCCGCCTATGTTGCAAATGTATGTTTCAAATATTTCAGATATTTCAAAGGTATGTTGCAAGTATTTCAGAGGCATGTTGCAAGTGTTTCAAAGGCATATTGCAAGAGTTTGTTTGAAATGATTCATCTGTTTCATATGCATGTTGCAAGCTTTTTTATATGGATGTTGCATATGTTTCACACATATATGTCGCAAGATTATGTTCGAAATATTTCAACTGTTTCAGTCTTATGTTGCAATAAGTGTTCTTTCATGTTGCAAATTGCAAGTGTTTTATCTGGATATTGCATATGTTTCACACACATGTTTCAATTGATATTCCAAATGTTTTATCAGCTTCAGACGATGTTGCATCCAAATGTTTCATATTTCAGAGGTATAGAATCACGGGGCACGTCCTGTGCGCTGGGGGATTGGGCGCGGCAAGCCGGGATCGGCGGATGGGGCGTGCTGGGGGCCGGTAGTCGAGGTGTGCGGCGCACTTGGGGTCATGCGGACGAGGCGCACTCGTCCAGTAGTCCTCATCCCGGCTCGTGGGTCCTACCCATGCGGAGAGGGGAGGGGTTCAGGGGGAAGGAGCGCACGGGGGCGGCGGTGAGCACAGGGAGGAGCGCGCCGTCCGAACTCATGGAGAGAGAGGATGAGGTAAGGAGGAAGGAGCGGTGGGCACGGCGTTTCCGCGGGCGGGCGTGACAGAGGAGGCGCGGGTGTCTGGAGGCGTGCTTTTGTCCGGACATCCAGGCGCTAGTACCTCCCTTTTTTCTAACCCGTCCACATTCATAACTTGTAAGTACTCCCTTTATTTCAAATTAAGACGTTTTGTTTTGTAGATATATATCTAAAGATGTTGTATATCTAAGTGCATAGTAAAAATTATGTGTCTAGAAAAAAACAAAACCCTTATAATTTAGATTGGATGGAGTATTTGTTTACCTGTTGACCAAACCTTGCTTAGCTTATCAAACGAACAAGGTCCCGTGGTCTATCAAGTTCATCAACAATTAACTCTGCATAAGTAAAGAATATCTTGCAATAACTTGTATTCATATATAATGTCAAGCCGGTAAATTAAGATGACACCATTATATATGTTGTAATAAGTTGTAAAACGAAAAAGAAAAAAATTGTGTACAATGAAAACTGGGGTGCCCGCCAGCTGGATTCACAGATCAGAGTTGGTTCTCAATCCTGCCAAGCGCCTAGGCCGATTTTTTTATTTTTAGCTTTTTTTAAAGTTTTTTACAAATATGCTCTTGGAGGAAAGATTTTAAAATCTAGACCCTTAGCTTGGCGCCATCGTTGCTGGCGCCGAGCTTACACGTCTCGACGGGCTCGAAGCAAACGTGAAGGTGACATGGTAGGAAGCTCGGCGCCAGGGTGACTAGCGCCGAGCTTGTGTTTTAACCCCGGCCCTAACCTTCCTACCCGAGCCTTCTTCCTCTTCTTTCTCCTCCCTCTCGGATTTTTTCTTTCCCCACTTCGCCCTACCTCACGAATCGGCATATTGGACCTTGGAAACTTTGATTTGATCCGTAGATCTTCGTGAGCAAGGTATCCTCACGAATCTTAATATTACGGACATATTGAAATGTGATCACGTGCAGCAAATAAAACCTAACGAAGTAGGGCATAATATAATTCAATACACAAAACACATGAAATGGCATGTGAGAATATGTACCGAACTAGGGTACAGAGTTCCTTTGACTAAACCTAGGATGCCTTAGGTAATTAAACCAAACAACAAACACATAGATGTGGCATGTGAATAAGATAAAATCATCCTAATAGTGTGGCCACATAGCAAATTGTGTGGCACGTTCTCCAAAGTAGCCTCCCATTGTTGGTGGTGGTGGCGGCGGAGGATCCTTGTTTCTGTGATTAGGGCAGGTGCAATATGGATCATTGCAGAGTGCCTCCTATGAACTGGCACCATTGTTGCAGTCTTCCTATTCGTCGTCCTTGTAACTACTGCTAACTTTCCTTTCTAGATCGAAGATACGGTCCTATAGGTAGTAAATGTATTCCGCATGCGGATAAATAGGTCGAGGATCGACCCACCTAGTGAACCCATAGTTTTCTTCGGCCAAGGAAGACTGCAATAAGTATGTCATGTAAGTTGTATAGACGATGAACATATTGAAGAAACAAATACTAATAGCAATTACCCATGCTCGCGGACATTTGAACAAACGACGACCTCCATCTATTTCCTCGATGAACATCTGCACTAGGCAGTCCTCACCATGCATGCATTTTGGCCACTCTTCTTTTTGTTCATCATATCCTCTCAGTGGTGCCTCTTTGGTGAAATTGCTTTTGCTCTCAACTGGGAACCTCTCATAAAGAGTTTCCTCAAAGAAATCGGGACCAAGAGGACCCTCCCACCTAATGGTTGTTCTCTTCTCCTTTCCTCTCCCTCTGGACGACCCTCCAGACATTGGTACTGTAATGAAAGAAAATGCTGAGGAGTGCTCTTCTTCCTTGTTGTGTGTGTGAATGAGAGAGAGTGAGGGGTTATTTATAGGTTGAGAGGAGAAATGGAAGCCTCTCAATGTGCCATGTCAGCGATCCGTGTGCCTCTTCACCTCAGCCCTTGGATCAAACAGTCATAAGATGGATGGTGGAGATGGATTGGAGTTGTGCTTCCTTGCATGCCAGTACTATGTCAATGAAGTGATAAATCGTTGTTGTCCTTGTAACTGAAAAGTCTATTTTCATTGTCTGAAAAGCCTTTATTTGTTCACTGTTACTTGAAAAGCCTAGATTCATCTGTAAAGCGTTTGTACGATACGATTGGACTATACATGTTCTAATGAATTTATATTTAATATGTGTACTACATTTGTGCCTTTTTAGCAGTGTAGAATGATTAATGATTCATGGAAAAAATCATAAGAGTTTCTCTTGTTTCAGGAGCATCCACAGTTACAAACAGAGATATCATTATATAATCCAAATATTTAATCATCCAAAGAGCACAATGCAACCACAACGAACATCACAATCAACATAACATGTTCTACACAGTCTAAATAGTCCACAATGTCCATACAGTCCCAAATAGTTACAGGAAAGTAAATACAAAATCCATA